GCATAAGATGGGGGGGGGGGGGGGGGCGTTGAGCAGCCTGTGGAATATTTTCTTGATTAGTTCACAGTCCTGCTTATTAACAATCTAAAACATTGAAAATGTTTTTGTCGAAGTGTGGATTCAAAATGTCACAATATTGCCTGTATTATTTTCTCTCGTTTTGCATAATATTACAGCAGTCACAGTGTGGTTTATGTTCAGAATTTTGTACGTGTAGTGGATTGGTATGCAAAAAATGAGAAAGTCAGTAATTTATTTTTGTATTATGACTGCACAAGTGTTAGATGTAGGGAGCTGTTTGGTGTGAGAAGTCAGGATATAACAAGTATAACTGTTCAATGTAACAGATTGGGTTTACAAGAAGTCTTTTGGGGTTTTGGTTTGTTTTGAAGTGACTTGCTGACTTCGGAATTTCATGTAGTGTGATATCATGAAAGGTAAATAGCCAGCATTTCAGAGAAGGTAAGGAAAGAGAGAAAATCTCAAGGTAGGTCACGGACATGCACATCAGGCCATATAAAATTGCTGAATAATAAAATGGCCAGGCTTAGGTTAACTGACTGTGAAAGCAGAAGTAGCATGAAAGAAAGAGGAAAAAAATGCTTCAAAATGAAGATATGGGAAAAGCTGTTATATTCTTCATTTATTAAAAACATTAGGTTGCAGTTGCAATTTGCAACTCAAATTTCAAACGGAAATTATCTTTTTTTTTCCCCTAGCAGTTGAATTAAAATAGAGGAAGATTGCCCTAGAGATGAGTTGGAATATATTGGTAACTGGTTCTGTAGAAAATCCTGTGAGTTGCAGTTGTACCCAGACTTTACAGTGAACTCTCGTATGCCAGTCTTTATTCTAAGGAATTGAAAAATTCATAAGTCTTAGCCCAAATAATAAACTGTATATGTTCCCCAGCTTCAGTTTCTTCAATGTTCTGCGCTGAAATCCAAGGTCCTTTTGTGTTGAATTGCTAGCCCTGTACACTTGTGATTTATCTTCTGAACCCAACAGCCCCTTGAACTCTAATTTATCTGGCCTTGGTTGATCCTATGACTGAACTTTACTGCAAGCAAAAGTTGTTTCTTCCCCTTCTTTACTTCTGATCTTTGTAATTCTGAAAGTCTGTATGTATATACAAACACACTGTTTCAGTTCATTTTGCTTTTTTTTAGAAGTCCCAAGGCTGAAAAATTCCCAACAGGTGATCAAGAGAAGACGCTTTTATCCATCTCAATCTTGTTGTGTGTACGTGTTGACACTGGACATACATGCAGGCATTAACCATAGTGGGAATTTTCCTGTATTGATAGCACTATAAGCCTGGCCCAAATAAACAGTGCACACAGCTATAAAAAGATGCAGGTTGTACTTTCCCCTTATGGTTTGGCTACATATGAGATTATTCCTGCTTTTGTTTGGAATTTGTTCTGTATCATAAGTTTGGGTTTGGTTGGTTGGGTTTTTGTGGGGTTCTTTAAATTCCTCTTTGGCTAGGCTCTGTTAGCATGTTTGGGGACCATTATTTAGGAGAAGTTATTTAAATCTGGCATTGGTTCTGGGATGGCAGTCAGTCAGGCTTCTACCACTCCAGGTTGAGTGGCCTGATCTTTCTTAGTCATCTTTCTTTTGATGTGTTTGAAAAGTTTCTGACTTTTGGTTTTAACAAGTTACTGTTTCTTGCTTTGGCTTGCCACCTTATGGTTATGTTTTAACTTGTCTGTCTTCATGTTCTCTCAAGGAAAACAGTTTTTTTCAAACAAAGTCTTTTTGTTCTAATTACCACCTTTAGTCAGTTGTGGAGTCATTCTGGATTTCTTTCTTGTCCTTTCAGAATCTTTTTTGATAAGTGACTTGTCACTTCTCCTGATTCCCAAATATGGTCTGTCAGTTTGTACTACAAATGAACACTTTACCCTTTCAGTTTTTTAACTTTTTTAACCAACTTCCCCTTTTTGTGTAGTTGCCCTGTGCTTCAGCCGATTGCCCGTAAGTTCCTGTATTTCTGTTGTGTGCTATGCCTACTGTTGCCTCAAGATCTGATTAAATTTGGTGTAATGTGCCTGGCTGGACAAGATCTTTGGTTATTACCACATTCTTTTCTGTAAGCTGCTCTAGACAGTACTGCTTATAGTGTGTCCTTGCTGCCCTGGGAGTTCAGCTATTTCACTGACAGTTGACAGGGAAGTTTATAAGGATGATCTAGTGCACACACAATACAAAAGGGGTATAGGAAGTAATCTAAACTGGCAGGGTAGACTCTCCTTCTTTCATCTACCTCTTTTTCTTCCAAGGAAAATTGGTTTTTGTATTGTAGAGTACCAATGATTTCATATTATATAAACAAAATTATATTGAATCCCATATAAGTATTGGCAAGATCTGCAATACCTGACCTCTAACTCAGGCTGAACTCGGAAATGTATTTAAAATCCCCAAAGCATGGGGGAGTTCTTTGTCTGAATTTTACACAACATGCATTACTATGTTAACTATAAGTCTATGGGATGAAATATGGTATCACAATACCCTTTTTCCATTCTATTAAGGTGGTTCACTGCTTTGCAAATACTACTAGGACACTCTTCATAGGAGGAGTACAGCGAACAGGAACAGATCAAGAAGAGAAAAATTTGGAGGAACTGAATTTAATTGCTTAGGATCACCCATATGAGGCAATCTAGCTTTCAACAGTCTGCAGGATTTTAAGAGGCTTTTTCTATGTATCTATCTTTTTGGTTTAGTTGGCCTTTTCCTTTTGTTCCTTCCTGTTTGTTGTTTCTTCTTGCAAGAGGGAGGCTGGTCATCCAAAATCACTACCCTGTAATGTCCTTGTTTTATTCATAAGTAGCTTGTAAATAATATCTAATTTTTGAACATGCTTGGTGCTCTTGAGCTTGAATATCTATTAGTGAGGTGTTCTTCCTGAATATTTGACTTTCTTAGACTTAGAGAGAAGAGAGAAACCCTGATCAGTAGCTTTAATCTTAAGTGCATGTCTTACTAATATATTAGAATTCCTGGTGTTTGACAGTTAATTGGTGGACAAAAGAGAACTGGCTTATGTTGTTCACAATGGCATTCAAAGGCTTTGTAACGAGATTTTGGGGAAGAGGCTACTTAACAGAAATTAAGTGGTTATTGCATGGGAGGTAACTGCCTTTACAGATCAAACTGTCTATAATCAAGTGTAAAATGTATAATAATGCAGAGCTTTCATCAAAGCCAGAATGACTGTGGTGTGCCTCAGGGTTTTGTATCTGTCTTGCCATTACTGTATATTAACATCACAGACAACAAAAGGTGGTTAGTAGTAAGGTAGAAGAACCTGTAGATGAAAACAATGAAGGTAAGTCAAGAAAAAATCTTGTGAAGACTTCATTAAACTAGAAGAGGCTGCACAAAGGAGATAACATTCCATACCAATATAAGTAAAATCCAGTATAACAGAAAACACGACAGGTGAGTAACTGATAGGGAGCAGTGTCTGCTTTCTAAATTGCTTCTTATGTTTGTACACTGATTCTTAAAGGCCTCTTCCAAACCAAAGTGTCTTTCTCAACTTTCTCAGCAAATGTAGTGCAACTACAATATCAGGATTTCCTTAAAATATCTTTTGGTGCTGCTGTTACTACAGAGGATTAAGTTAGAAGTAAAGTGAAAATGAGTACTTAATTGTTTGGCATTTAAAGACTTGGGAGTATTTTTTTCTTCTATTTTTCTGATGTCATACACTTAATAACTTGTGTTTGCCTGGAGTTTAACTCTACTTGCTTTTATACTTTATGTTCTAGACATTCTTTATAGAGATATGTTGCCCATTGTATAATTTTAATATTATCGGAAGGTAATAGTTGTTCTGGTCAGGTAATTATTGATTTATTAGTATGTTAGTGTAATAATAATATAAATATTTAACATAATTATTAATAAATATGTATTTTTGTTCTAGATCAATTCATTCGAAACCATTGTTCTTCACTTCTATGAAAATACTAAGGAATTTGAAAGTCTATGCACTGCCTAATTTTTCCCTTGTGTTCTTTTATATTTTCACATACTTGTAAAGTCAAAATAGATGTTCTGCGATGTGTAGAGTACCATATTTCATTCTTTGTATATGAACTTTTCTTTTATGGGCTCTTCCTTATAGTTCTTCAGAGTATAGAGCACAATTGTTACAGTATTTCTTGCTATAAAAAAAAAAAGTGCTCAGTTTTCTTAGATTATCTTGCTTACTGTGTTTTGTTTTGTTTTGTTTTTAATTCAAGGGCATTGGGAGTTTCAGTGACAGACTATACATTTGAAGACTGTCAGCTAGCTTTAGCTGAAGGACAACTTCGTCTGCCTTCAGACACATGTCTTTTAGAATTTGCAAAGCTTGTGAGAAGCCTTGGGTGAGCATATACAGTATTTATATGTAAGGTGCATCTTTATTATATATCTATGTTTGTATAGTGTTCCCTTCATATAACAATATTGCATTTATGAGTATATATGGAATGTCATATCACAATCAGGGAAACACTAATACAAAATTAAACCAATACTGTTCTCTACTTGTAAGCAGCACCCTTAGATGCTGATGAGTAGAGTAGGTTGTAAAATTTGTATTTTCATAGTCTGACAAGTGAGCAGAGTGTGTCTGAAGGGTTCATTCCTGAAAAAAAAAAAACCCCACCTGAAGAGGGTCAGCAATACTGTGGGATACCTAATTGATACACTTAAGAGTCAATTACCCTTTCCTGTGACATCTATGAAGGGAGAACAGTGCTGCCATAGCAGTCTTGTGACTGTATTAACGTTCAACAAGTGAGGGCAGAGAGGTCACCCTTTCCCAAGAAGCACGGAGAAGTGGTTGATCTTTTGAGCAGGTTACTGCTAGATGGACTTTCTAATGAAACTGTAGCTTAGTATATGCAGTATATGCTCTCTTCTCATAGTGTCAGTTCCCTCTGACTTTACCTTTCAGAAAAGCTTCAGCAAACAGTGAAAAAAAAAAAAAAATCACATAAACCAAATAATAAACTTGTTGCTACTGTTTTTTCCTTTTTTCCTGTTTTTCCTTTCATCCTATTGAACAACCACAAACTAAATTTATAGCCTGATCCTATTAACTGCTTTAATATACAAACACCCTTTTCCATTTTTTGTCTCCTCACCTGAAAGTATAGAGCATAGTTCATGTTTCCATTCTGTACTTATTTTCATTCACTAATTTTTCCTTCATCTTCTAGCTTGTGTACATAAATGAAAAAGGAAAAAAAAAAAAAAGAGAAAACTATTGGAGAACGAGGAATGTAGGACAGCATACCTTATGCATTCAGATGACAAGCATATATTAATTCATTGTCGGAACTTCCATCTGAAAAGACTTCCAGTAGGATAGGAGAGACTTCTAAGGGGAAACATTCTTGCTTTGTTCCAAAGGCTCTGAATTTACAGCACTAAGAAAAAAAGCAAACAAAACAAACAAAAAACAACCCAAAAAACCACCCACGTCTCTTATTATGCAGTTGATAATCCTGAGATTCAGTTTAATCCTCTTGATATATTGTCTGGCTTCTGTCTGCTCAATTTAAAGCTGTTCATTCAAATTATGCTTTTCTGGGGTTTTATTTTGGCCTCTAAAACAGTTATGTGCATTTGTGAGTAAAGTGCCCTACAATCCAAAAGTTCTCTATCTGGTTTGAGCAATTGTACATTTGTGAAATATTATGCTGTCCTGATTTGGATATGTGCCAGTAAGAAGGCTATTATGATGGTATTTTTCTGGCACAATTGGATGAAGATTGTAATATGACTTCATCTCTAATGCACGTTTGATGGCAATACAGTCATTTTGCTGTTTATTCAAAGGTTTTGAGGCCGGGGAGGCATTAAGATCATCCAGTCACATCCCTAAATAACTGGAACAGTAAATTTTATTCAGTGGATTTTGCATCCAGTCTTAATACTTGTTTTCAAGCAATAACATACTTTCAAGGTAACATCCAGTTTTAATACAAGATTTTTATAGTAAGGCAAATCCAGACTTGTTTTTTGGTTTAGATTCTTTGAAATCAAGTTATACCTCACTTTGCTACACTGGAAGAGTTACTTCTATTCACGTTATGTATCTACAGGATTCATTAACATAGTCTGTAAAATTTGCTTAGTCTGTGCTCAGCTGGATGTGATCCAATCCAGAAGCCATGCAGCCACAGCAGCAAGTTCTCGTGCTCCATCTAATGAAGAGCTTGGGCACTGTAAACATAGCTGCACAAGCTGCCAGGTCACAGCTGGCTGAAACTCAGCTACCTCATACTGAACTCTGTGGTAAAATGATTGCTGTATCAATGAGATCAATTGATCATAGTCTTATCTGCTCAAATTCTGCATTCATTAGTCCTCAAGCAGTTATGCTTCTGTTGAGCCTGATAATCTATGTCTGACCAATGAACTGTTTACTAAGCTATATGCAGTCTCTAGTGTAGCTTTCATACATTGTAAATCCTCTGCTTCATTTGATTTACTCTACAATTAATTACCCCAATGTTTAAAGTGATTCTCTCTTTGTACTTTGACTGGATCTACTACCATGTTCTAGACATTGAAGCTTGTTTGGATTTTGTGCCTTATTAAAGACCTCTTCAGAAAGTATTAATACAGTATAATTAAATCTCATCTCCATCTTTTTATGAAGTACTTTTTATGAGCTGTTTTAGGGTAGCTGTTTGTAAGGAGATCCTTAAGTTCCGATTTGAATTGGTTTGTTCCTATTGTCTCATGCTTCTGTTCATTCTGCATTCATTTTGCCCATAAATTAGAAGAACCGTCTAGCCTTAATTGTTCCCCTTTCTTATGTAACTGTGGCTTTTAGGCAATCAGTAGCTCCTTAGAGAATTCCCAGTTTGCAGTCAAATGGTTTTCTAATTTTTTTCCATTGTGATTATTTTTAGTTTTAACTGTTTTATTTTTTGAAAATTAGAGATCTCTCTCCTCTCTTTACAAAAAAAAAAAAGCCAAATGTAGCACATAGCAATCCAAAGTAGAAATATTTTTTTTTTAGTGACTATTCTGCTTGCTGTTAGATGAGCAAAAACTTCAGGTGACCGATTTCATAAGCCTCAAGTAATTCTAGTGGTCCAGGCCTTTCGCATCTTTTTTGGGGGTGAAGTATTGATAGCCTCATCAGATTTATAGCCAGATTAAGGATCATCTGTTTTGCTTATCCCGTGCTTGACTGTTGTTGTTACCGATATCTTTTCTTTTGCTTTCTGTCTACACTTCAGTTTGTTAACATTCAGTACTTCGCTACTGCATTATTTACTTCATTGTTTCCTGGTTGTTTTTTCCCAGATCTTTCACTTTTAAAACTCCAGGTATGATTTGGAACATCTAGCAAGGATGGATGTGTCTTACATCCTTCTGTTTTAGTCACTGTTTTCTACTTCTTGATTCTTCTTATTCATTTGAAGTCTTTTTGGCAAATATTCTTTAAAAATTCAGACTTTCTTCATCTATTTTCTCTTTCTTTTTTTTTTTTTGAGGCTAGGCAGCACTAATACTTGTACAAGATGGCATATTTTGTCTTCCAGTATGGTAGTTGCCTTCCACTTTGTGCATCAAAAAGCAATAAATATACAAAGTACGGGAAGAACATGGTATGGTGAATGTGCATTTTATTACTGGTATACATGTGGCACAAGACACTTTGAATTGTCAGGTTCTTGATCTGGAAAATGCATTTAGTACGCCGACTCTGAGGTTCTTTGTACTTGCCACTGAAGACAGTATGGCTTTGCTGATTATGTCCACTTCTTTTAAAAGGTATAGTTTGCAACAAATCAACTTTTTCAGGTCAGATTTCAGAAAAATCCCCTATTCTTGCCTTCTAAATTTCTTAGCTTTCTTAGTAGAATCACTCTTAGTAATTTTTTTATCTTTAACAACAGGCAACAACTTATTTTGGAATTCTTTTTGGATTCTTAACTATATCCTTTGCTTTCCTGAGCCTGAGTACTATTGGTGTCTTTTACACATGTGATGGGTACTAGTGATGTCTGCCCTGGAACAATGTTCTACAACCTTAGCAAGCCTGCAAGTTTTACCTCCTTACACACTCACTAGCTCTGGTGAAATTCAATGTTAGAATACCTACTTGTGCTGCATCAATTCTCATGTCTCTTAAAAGCCATAGTATTTTGGTAAGAATGACCTGAATTAAACAGCAGTTCCATTTTGGCCACTACTCTCTAATATCATCTCATCCAGTTGGCCACAAGGATCCTACTAGGCAATGCCCCTATAGGCTCGTAAGATCTGCCAGGAGGAGATAATTACCTCATAGGCCTGGTGCCTGTCTGTTCTTGCTCAACAGCCTTTACCATCCAGACCACAATGCAAACTTCTCCTGTCCATGTGTGCCTGAAATGGTGGTCCAAACTGTAGGTAGAGCTCTGCATCCCCAAAGTAATAACCCCTCACAGCTAACTAACAGTGCTGTGACTTCAAGTGTTCAGCAATCATCTATAACAAGAAAAAAAAAACCTCTGGAGGATGTTGTCCATCTGTATTCATGATAAAAGCAATACTGACCATTACAGGGGGTGACCACAGATCAGACAACGTAGCAAATACCAACCATGATAACCCCTGCCTCATGGATCAAGGCAGGGTGTGCCAGAGTATTTGGAAGGTCAGTTTTACAGCTGTTCAATATCCTTTCTCCATTATGACAAGAAGTTGCACAGAAATACATCAGCAGACATAAAACTGAATGTATTGTGCTTTTCTGGCTTAGGGCATGTTTCTCTGCGCTTGCAGTTTAGAGAAGCTAGCTACAAGATCCAGCTGTTCTTATGCGACTTCCAGCTCTGTGAGACACTAGAAGTTTTTTGGCAGGTTCCCAACATGCAAGAAAGGAGTTTGTTTTCAAATAGTCAAATACAGCTAAAACTACCTTTAAGGAGGTAAGACATCTCACTTGCTAAAAATAGTGGTAATTATGCAGAAAATATCCTACCTTCAGGGATCTGGTTTTCCTTGTGAAGTCTGCTGTGAAGGATTTAATGTTCAGAGCTGTTAATCTTGAAAAATACCCTTTCCATCTTCTGGTACTCAGAAATTACTTTTTGTTCTCTTTAGTGTGCACTGGTCTAAAAAACAAATCAAAACACAACAGTAAATACTGTTATGTATTGTAAAGCCTAGATCCTGCATAGAAGTCATTAGGCAAACAAGTATGATTTCATGAGCGAAGACATCCACTGTTGGCTTTCCAGCTTTTATAGCCTCCATTGGGAGAAAAGTAACAATTTTAAAGGAATTGAGACATTCAAACCATTTCACATTGGTTCAGAACCTATTGTGGGATTTGGAACACTTGACTTCAAAAGACTTCAGCATAGTAGGTCATGATCATCCACACATCAATTACTTTCTGATTCTGAAAGGACTAGAGTCCACCTTGAATTACCATATGTACAATGCAGTCACACTCAAGCTGAAGCAACAAGTTTGCCTCACTGATTCATGTATTCTTTTTTGAGATTGGCTCACATCTCTTTCTATAGTTATAAAACCCAAACCACAAGATGTCTGTAAGATTCCTGGTAAGGTGTGCTACTTTCTGTACAAACCTTCAAACTTCATAGCTTTTTGGACTTCACTGACTGGTGAAGAGATCTCACAAGCATTGAATTCTGCTCACCAAATGAGTACTTACTCAGTTCTAGAAGGTGAATTTTGAGTCAGTTCATTGCAAATCAAATCTCTCTGATTTAGAGACAGATGTTAGACTGAGTATTCTGTGTCAGTGGTGGCTTATCTCAAGGGACGATTTGGATGCCAGCTGTCCTTCATCCTACAGTTGAAATCAATTTTGGCTACTAGACTGGGGATGTATTATCTGTGGATACTTCTTATATGTAATCCTGCATGCAAAAAGCTGAGTTCTCTGTGCATCTCAAATCCTCCATGGATTCCTTTGTCATTGTTCCTGCTACTTTTCTACTTGACAGTGGAAAATGAATGTTTGCAGAGGAGCGTTTTTCTGGTCTTTTTATACTGTCTAGGACCAAAACTTAAGATAGGCACTTTAATGCCAGGATGGAGAACGTATGAATGTTCTGTAAGGGCCATGGATCTCTGGAAGAATTCTTGCATGTTCAGGTCTTGTAATTCATAAATAGAGGGCTTGGTGTTGTTTAGTTAGTACATTTTTGGTAAGTCAGTTTAGGTAATGGCAGACAGCATAGTAGTTGTGTTTTTACTTAAATTTTTAAGATGGGTCAATTCACCAAGCAATCAAGGTCTGGAGCTGACGTATCAGGTACGAGCATTTCTGATAGGAAGATTATCTTTTTTCAGAAGCTCATGAGAATGCTGATCTTAAGTATTTTATTCATTCTTGTCACTGAGAGGAAGCTGCTGAGGAGTACCAGCTGCAGTCTGGGAACAATTCTGATGTGAGCTTTTGAGTTCTGTAAATAACTGCTTTTACTTCTCTGCAGCAGCAAACACCAAAACAGACAACTGCAGAAGAATATTGTAGAAGACTTTATTGGCTTCTTTTGTTTTCACGTTGGAAAGTTTGGATGCCCACATTAGCCTATATCAGTTCAGAGGAAACCTGCTGATCAAGATTTGGTTGATGTTGTATTAGGGAGGGAATTTACTTTTCCCCACATACCTGCAGCACCATTTATTATATTCATAGTAAGACTTATTTTTGCAAAGCAAAACCAGGAAGTTTGACTTAGCAAAAAAAAGAAACCAACCATGCAGTAGATGGCTCCATAAATTTAAAGCTGTTCGTTCATCAGTCAAAATCTGGTTTCACACTCAGAAGGACTGAGGGAATTCCTGTAGTTGTATTAACTTCTGTAACTTTGGGTCACCTCATAATGGTGTCCAGCTCCAGACTGAATGTGAAAAATGAGGACTGACAAACAGGATTAACAGTATAATCACTGTTATGTAATCCCTGATTTCTTTTAGGCAAGATGCATCAGGTCTTTCCTGTTCAGTGACATTAGTAAATTTGGAATTGTAATTGGTTTATGTTACTGTCCTACAATACGGCCATATTCAAGTGGCCTAAATCCCAACCCAGTTCTCCATGCCTGGTATTTTCTATTAGCTAGTTCTAGACTGTTTCTTGTTCACGATGATCTACTTGCACATATGGCTTATCATCAAGTTAGAATAAATGACACAAGGTTATGAGCAGGGTTCCTAAGCCCTTGCAATAATTTCTAATACAGTTCAAAACTAATGGGAGCCTTAAAATTACAGGAATACATTCTTTTATAATGAAGTTGCTTAGTAATTCTGATTCCAGAATTTGTAATGTTTTAGACCATTATCATCCATTGCTTCATTTGGTATTTTGAAATTTGTATTCTTAAAACTGGGTTTATTTTTAAAATGTGCAAAAATAATATGCTTTCTAGCCTGAAGCCAGAAACACTTGAAGATGATCTTGATAAATATGCTGCAAGTGCCATGAAAATGGAAAAAGAAAAGATTGATCTTAAAGAATTTTCAGCATACTTGGAATTTCCAGTTTCTGACACATTAGAAAGTATGTTTGCACTTTTTGATGAGGTAAGAAACAACATCATATTTAAAAATTTTACTACTTCTGGTAAACTCTGCTTTAGCCTAATTCTGTTCCAGTTGAATTCACTGAGGTCTGATTTGGGCCAGTGCTGAGTGGTTTTAAGCACTTCACAGTATTTGCCTACTATGTTTCCCTTTTCAGCAAGGTAAGAGCACCTATTGTCAACTAAAGCAAGCATTCAAACAGGTAGAAATTGAAAGGAGTATCAGTTGGATAAAAATAATTTTCTTTCTAGATGCAAAATCTGAAGAGGAGGAAAGATGGCTTCAGGCTAAGTCTTTGCCGTGGCTCGTTGCAACTGAATGCAGTGCCTATTAGCTGATATTTTACTTACCTTGTTAATAAATCACTTGTTCTTCTAGGGTGCCAGAAACCTGAAGGACCTAGGAACTTGGCAAATGTGCCAGTTTTTCATTCCTCTGGCAATCAGTCAAGATGGGGAAATGACTGTTATCTTTGTCTGGATGAGGTGCTGTTTGGACCAGGAGATGGATATGTCCATAGTGTTCTCTCTTAGACCAAAGAGCAGATGTCATGTCTTCAGGGCTTAAATTAGGCTACCTTGTTCTCTGGTTTTCTGACTTTAATTTCAACCTGGTAATTCAGATAGTTTAACGTAAAAATCTTCAATATGCAAGTGAAGGGTGACAATAGCAGCACTGTCTTCCAAGAAACTGAAGTATGACTTATGACTGCGACTCTGAAAACGGCCTGCAGAGCTTTGACCCAGGTTCTTGCCCTGAATTAATTCCATTTTGGTGAGACTTTTTTTGCAGTGGCATATGTAATGATCTTTCTAAATATTCTGCATCTTTAGCAGCTGTTAGTTGTGATAGTTCTCAGGCAAATTGCAGTATTTTGAGGTGAGGTTTTTCTTCACAGAATGAAGATGGCATAATTGACATTCGGGAATTTGTCATTGCTCTGTCAGTTGTCTGCAAGCCATCCAAAACTCTGGAAACAATTCATTTGGCATTTCAGGTAAGCAGTATTTTTTCCCCTCTATGTAGTGTACTTTTTTGACGAATTACTAATACTGCCATTAGATGTAACAGAAGCTTGTTTCACATGCCCTTTTAATACTTAATTACATTTTAAAATTACATTAATGGAAAGTTAGATTAAGCAGTCATGTTTAAAGAGAACGCACTGCAAGTTTAAGTCATGTAAAATTATGCAAGTTTTGCAGTTTGAAATTGTTCTCTGTGGAACTCTGGTAGAATCTTTTTCAGCACACTGAGTCTCAAACCTGAAGTCCTTTTGTATTGATTCCTCTAAACTAAATGAGTTGTGCTTACTACTTTTATAATGTTTCAATCAAATCTTATTTTTCAAGATAATAAAATATTTTAAAACTTTCCTTACACGTTAATAGAGATTAATCTTTTTACCCCCTTTTATCATCTTGATAAGATTTTCTTCCCTCTTAGTCTTACCATGTTTCTGTGTTGGTCCTGCAGTCTCTGCCCAGACCTTACGCCTCCCAGAAGCGTTCCTGATCTTGTTCTAGCCTCAGTGGTTTGCTGTAGCATCAGTATAGATGGCTTTTTGGGAGAGTGACAGCAGCATTACTTAATGTTTGCCATTCCATTGGGTTTGTCTGACACCTTGGTTTATTGCTTTTTAATTGGTTTCTTTAATACTGCTATTTCAACACAAACTGTGCGGTACCCTGCATCATCTTTTCCCTTTGCCTTGAACTCACATGGTCTCTAGTGTTACTGAAAGTGAAGAGTGCTAACTCTTGATGTTGTCATCACTGGTGAATACATGTCGTTGAGAATGTTCACTTGCATGGTACTACACGGCAGCCTTATTTTTTGAGTAGCTGTTTTCAGGTTCTTCAGCATACCTGTGTTTATTCTCTTAACTATGTTTTGCTAAAGAAATGAGGCTTCTGTGAATGTTCAGTGTTCACATCTGTCATTCCTACCCTTTGTCCAGTATCAAACAAATTTGACAAAGGAGGAAGGAACAAAAATATTTGATTCCTACAGATATAGGGGGAAATCTGCTTCTTGTAGCTGCTGTTACTTACTGCTACTTCTGAGGGAAAAACAGAAAGCTCTCTACCCTTACTTATTCCATTACATAGATCATGGCATAGAGAAATGCCCAGGTGCCTTTTGGTCAGCTCTGTGTCTTCATACTAAAATGATCAATCTGAAGTAAACTTGAAGGTGACTTTTGGGCAGTATTTCAGTGAAATTTATCCATCATGATGCATAATGTGCAATATACTTTCACCATTTTAGAGGAAGAAAAGCTCAGATTAGGCAATTTTCTTTTTGGAAGTGCCTAACTTTTAAGAAACAGTTCTATTAAGTTAAAAAGAAAAAATCATCTATTCTTCACTATTTGCTCCATTGTGCAACTCATAATACATAATTTGGAGTTCCCTGGTTAATTGCAAAATATAAAGTTAACTGTACAACTGCAAAAAGTTCTGTGCCTGTATGAAGAAGGGGAAGCACTCAGCAAGGGGAAGCACATATGGTTCATTCTGTCCTCCTAGTGATGATCAGAAGGGTTAAAAAAAAGTCTTGAGCTGGGGAAATTTTGCTCACAGTGTTCTAGGATAAAAAGGGAAGAGAAATTTTTTTTTAATCCTTTCTTTCCCCCCCTTTCCTGGGTTTGTGTGGAGTAAGATATTCACACAGCTTACAGGGAGCCACTGAAGGATCTAGTCAGTTTGTGAATGCGTGGCTTTGAACAGCTGCTGTCCTCTGCCATGTGCTACTTTTTGCAAAGCACCTTGTCATTTGTCTTCAGGGATGAAGTGCAACATTTCACATAGCTGAACAAGTTTTCAAAGTGGAAGTGCTTAGTATATGGTTGAAGAACTTGAAAACTAGGAGTTACTAAGCCACCAGAGTTCTAAAGCAGTGGGCAATTAAGAGAAGGGGGGATTATGGCAATCAAGTATAAGAGCAGCACTCCAGTGTAAGTGCTATGCATCCTTCCCTCCTAATTGCTAAGGAAACAAGAGAGTGTTGTAAATTTTGCTAATATGACACTTATGAGCCTTACCATCAAGTATCACCTTCTGACTACTTGAGCTGTGAAAATATAGCCGGTTTTATTAAACATTGCCTGTCTTGTCCTTGCGCCTACTCCTTGTGAAACAGTGTGCAAGTTACGTGCTAGGGAGGAACAGGCAAGATTACAGATTTGAACATGAATGTCGTCTTCCATCGTACTTCAATTTTTTTATTCCACTGACTTTTTTTTTTTTATTCCACTGAGGTGTGCTGTCTCATGACAGCAACTTCTGCTTGTGTGAAAAATACGTCCTTGTGCCTGTGCAATCTCATCAGTTCCTACCTTCTCAATGATGTAGAGAAACTAAGAGGAAGTTTCCAAAATAGCATTTTTTTTTCCATGGTTCAATATTTGCAGTGTTGTCACGCTTGAAAATGAGACAAGGATGTTTTAAAAACTCTTCTGTCTCAATTTCCATTGCACAGGCAAATTGAGTTATTTTAGAAAATTTAATGAAGTTGTATTTGTTACAGATGTTTTGAAATACTCAAGTCCTTTTTTTCAGGGGAGAACACTACATATACAAAAATAGAATGAGACTATGAACAATTATTTTTATTTATCGATATCCTGTCAGTAGTAAAGCTAACTCTTTGTGAGGAAACTCTTTGCATCAGGACTTAAGAATATGCAAATTATTATTTTCTAGAATTTTGAATAAGTATTTGTAGAAAATTATAGGCCCATCACTTTATTGGGGTAGGATTCTCCTGATTAATACAACGCCATTTAGGTATAGGCATTTTATACAACCTGGCTGTCGAATCAGTTGGATGTTGGTCAAGAGTCTTGAGTTTTACACCTGACCAAGTGGAAATGGTATCTGCTTTAGGCTGACCTAAATATATCTCCTGATTCCACAGACTGTCTTAGAGTTTGGACATGTAGATCAACGGACTGAAAATTATTCTCAGTTACATATCTGCAAAACACATTAGTGTTAAACAGTCTTGTCTCTGAATATCATTGAAATGCCAGGGGTTAGGCATGTAAACATAGGCTTTTCTGAATATAGCAAGCTTTACTTTCTAAGTGTACACAGGTCAACTAATAATAAATACTGCCTTTTACCCAGACTAATCAGAAATCCTTAGTAGATCACATCAATCTGAGAGCAACTAGAATTTCCAATACCAAATTTTAATTTTGCATTAACTTCTTCATGTGGTGCTGTTTATAGGAGTTAGCATTCAGCTTTGCAATGATTTATCTTGCTTTCTTGATTCATAGCTGTACCAGTCAGAAAATGGAACTATAACGGAAGATGATTTAGCTCGTATTCTGAAGACTGCCATGGGTGTGTCACAGATTAATGTCATGCATCTTTTTAGAGCTGTAGATGAAGAAGAAAAAGGAGAGATTACATACAGTAAGTATTTTAAGTGGATCTGAACTGTCACAAAACGTCAAAGCTGTCTGAATTCATGTTGATATACCAACCAGTTATATTTCTATTAAACTTTTTTAGTTGACTTGTTGACTTTAACAATGATAAAAACACTGCAGATAAAGTATTTTTTTTAAATGTAAACTTACTCTAATATCAAATGTCAGATTTACATGTTTTCAGAGGTTTTCCCTTCCACATTGTCAGGCAATACATAGGTTAGCTTTTTCAGCATATTCTGTTCTGACTTCCATGTATGTGAATATGTATTTTTAAGAAAGCTATCTTAGCTCTGTCCTGTTGTTTTGTCTCTTGTATCTGTTCCCTGTGATTTCTGCCCTCCCAGAATATAGGGGGGTGTAAGATTTTTCTACTCCCATAATAATTTCTCAGACTGTTTGAAAATAAGTGATGGGGGGGG